CCCTTATAAACTTTCAGATAATCCACCACTTTAACGTTGTCTTGAGAATTAATTGCCTATCTAAAAATTACTTTTGTGAATATCCATATACTTTAGGAAATGCATCTGCTTTATTTTATTGTTACTGTTTTAAGATAAACGCGTAATGAACTGTAAATATATTTTTAACAGCATATTTTCTAGAGTATTTTATTTAAATTATGCTGAATAAGCCAAAAATTTAAGTTACTTTAAAATTAATTTAAAAAAACAACTTTATATTATTTTAAATAAGTATCAGAATTTTATTAAATAATTACTGTATTTAGATTAACTACAGATTTGATAGATTTTGTATAGAAAGAATAATTTGGTTAGTGTTCAAAAGAATAATTGTTATTTCGTAGAGAAATAATTTCAAATATGTAATTAAAATAGTCGAAAACATTGGGATATAATTATTATCAAAATTTACAATAAAACACTATAATCGACTTTATCTAAGTAAAGCACAGATCGGTAAAGCACTAATTACGCGGCAACGATGCTTTTTAATTTATATCAGATAATCAGATTTTGCACTTTAATATAAGTTGTTATTAATAGTAATTTAATATAGATAATTTAATAATTATTTTTAATACTTTGATACGAATTATTAATTATTCTAATAAGTTATAAATAGTTATAATTTTGTCTTGTTATGGTAATTTCGTACAAAATAAACTTATTATAACGAACGTTTAACAAATAATAAAATGCTGATAATCAGACAATGGATTATGCAGGAATAAAATTATGTATAAATGGCAAGCAAAGTCGTATTTAAAGAAGTTAAAGCCAATGATTGGATATCTTTTTACATTTTGATTAAGAATCAAACTATTTACATATGATTAACACATGTGTATAAAACAATTGACATTCATAAAAAAATAAGAAAATTGATAGCAAATCGTTTTTCTCTAGGGCGAAATTTATGAAAAATTTCTCTTAAAATATTATTGGAATTAACTATTAAGTTACTAAAACCACAATTACAAAGCCGTAAAAAAAAAAAAGAATAATATCAAGGTTAGAAAGTCAATAAGAAAAATATCGTTAGAAATAATTTTCTTACATATACTTATGATATATACTCATACTCAAACATATACTCATTAGGTAATAATAAAAAATAGCAATTAAAAAAATCTCATTACAAATCAAATACCTCGTAATAAGGTATAGACTGATGTATATAGGCGTACAAGCTCCAATAAAACTCGGTACTATTCTTGACTTTCTAATAAGGATATTTTTCAATACCAATCCGGAATGACTGAATAATATCCGGAATAATATATCGGCAACGGTACTACCACAGAATTAGATAGGAATTTAATGAGACATCATTAACACCGTCGGTGCACTTATTGCCCCTCGCCAGTATACTTAGCGGCAGTGATCATTCGTTATTTCCAAGTAATAAAGTGTCGGCACCCAGCATTTCGTTTCTTATACTACGTTCACACTCTATAGGAACATTGAGAAGCTACATACAACAATTTATTGGCACCTAATCGATATCGGATAAAAAGTCACTTTTACAATTTTGAAAAATAATTTCTTTTTATAGCACCTAAAGTTTTATTCCAATACTTTATAATGTATTAATATCACACTTACTATTTTTTTTTCTCATTCGTATCTATTAAATTGAAGATTGCAATTTTCAATAATCAAATTTAAATATTCCAATGTTCGAGTTAAATAACTTAATTGACGATAGTATTTTATTAACATTTGGAACATTGAATATTAATTGGTTAAAAACTTTAGCTCTTATAAATAGCAATTCATGAATAAATATATATATATATATACTTACTGACCTTCCATGTAAATTTCAGAGTAATAATAAAAAAAATTGCGATTAACGTCGTTAATCCATTACTTGTAAAATTGTCAATGTATTAGCTTAAAAGCGATAAACGAAGTAATTAGATAATAGTAACTAGAAAAATTAATTAAAAAATTTTATATTTACTTTAAATACATATATGTAAATACGAAAATTATGTATAATTGTAGGATCAAAATATAAGACAAATAATACGTACTTCGGATATTCGTATGCTTTTGTAACTAATGATTAACAGAAAAATCTTAAACAATATTTAAATTGCACTATTTTATTAAGAAATTCAAATACTTCTAATAATATAGGAATACACTAAAATTTTGGCAATTTCTTTATTATTACATTTATTATTGATGCATATTCCTACCTGAAGAATAATCACATAATTAGCTTTCTAATAAAGTGATTTCGCATCCATGTTAAGAATTAGTTTTTTTATTAAAACAATATGTTATCAAATACGTAAATGTAATAAAAAGAATTTATTTTTAGTACACCAATATTAATATAAATATTCTCGTGGTATTGTTACGTGATAACATTTATTTTCACTTTTTAGATGAAAAACAACTTATCAAAGATAGAACGATTGAAAGCCTTTGAAAACCATAAAACGTAAAATAGATGAAATAAGTTATATTACACTGTTAATAAATTTAATCGATTTATTTCTTCAACATCGTAAGATTTGCATCATTTGAATAGCAATTTGAAAACATCGATGTTTGCATTTTAAGATCTTTAAAATTATATGAGAAAAATTATTGTAATGAAAAGTAAACGTCTTCCGCGTAACATATGACCGTTACGAAGGGAGCAGTTAATTTAATTTATTTTTTATTAATTAATTTTACGAATCATTAATTCTTACATCATAACATATATTTGTTTGTGATGTAAGTTTAAAAAAGTTTATGAAAGATAAAAGTCCGCTATGCTCGAATTGAAATCGAAAATTTTGTGTAAATTTTATGAAATTCAAATAATGCTTCAAGAAATCGAAATATTGCACGGCCATTTCATATAAAATATACTAGTTCGGATACGAAACTTCATTTTATCAATTATATTGTCAGTTTTTTTTATTATTTAATTACTTAAAGCATGTTTTTCTTTCCAGTAAGACTACAATTTATAAAAAGCAATTTATCAATAATGTATTATTGTTTACATTTTTATAGTTTCTTACCTTTTTTGCTTTAAAGACGATGATCCAAGGTCACCAAAAAAAAACATTCCAACGGTTGTCTTCGATGGTCTGGTATATGGATTCTCGTAATTAACAATTTTTTATAATATAACTTTTAAATTAATAAGTAGCATGTGCACGATTGGAAGATGTAAGACTTTTGTTCAATAATAAACATGTTTTATTCGTTTATAACTGTTTACTATAAGATCAAGAATATTTGAATATTTATTTTGAAACAAGATTATATTTAAGAAGATTAAGAACATTCTAAATGTAAAATTCTATTCTCTATTAACTGAAATATTAATCTAGCGAGTTTTAGTCGAAGCTTCGTGTCTTGCTCTCTCACATGGTAAGTTCGACATTATCGATACAGTCACTCGGAAATCAACCGAACCTATTTTATCCAATGATCAAAATCTAAATTGTGATATTATAGAAAAATAATTTTATTATTAAATTATTTGAATTTAATATACATATAATTATAACTTTTGTTATATACAGTATTTTCAGCAGCATGTAAGAGATCATAAGTGAACGAGCACGTAACAATAATTTTCGATGTTTAGTATTTAGTTTAGATATTTTATGTTATGTCAGATAAAATGGAATCGTTTAGATTTGATAGATAATCCTATATTTTGAAAAGATAAGAAAACAATTATCTAAACATAAATATATCGATTTTAACATACATTAGTATTAATTCCATAAAGCTCAGAGAGAAGTATGTGATTTCTCATTAGGCGATAACAAATTTATGACTGAATTTTCATTTATTTTAATTAATAATTTTAAAATATTTTATTTATATTATGTTATATTTTCCTATATATCTCGTTTCAATTTCATTATGTATTACTATTTTATAATACTTTTCACATATGTTGGGAGTAATATTTTTCAAACTAATTAAGATTTTAAAAAGTATAAATAGTTGAAAAATCATTTTCTCAATATATATGAAATTAGTTTAAGAAATATCGATAACTTTAAATAAGTTTGTTTTAAGTTTTCAGAAATAAAACTATTGTTTTTTTGTTTTTTTTTAATGTATTTTAGGTGATTGTAAACAAACTTATATTCTTCTTACTAATTATAATTTTTTCCATTGCTTAATTAATTTTATTACTTTGATACTCTAAAAATTATAATCTTCGTTATAAATATATTTCAAATCTTCGTGTGACAAAATTATAAATTATTAAAATTATTAAGATTCTAAGTTTTATCAGAGTTCTTGCCATCATCATTAATAAATACAATATAAAATAATAATTTATATACTCAAAACGTTGAATATTTTTTTTCATTACTTTATACTGTTATATTATTTTAATCATACATTTAATTTGATATTTTGAAAAGTTCACGATATTAATTATGAAAGCAATTTTTTAATTTTATTATGAACATATAATTTAGAATGTAATTTAATTGTCTGACTATTTTTATAGGTTTGTTATAAATTTCTAAGTATTATTTTAATTTACTGATAATTTATGGCATAAAAATAAATTTAATCTAAGTCCAATTTATCGTTCATTATTAAAAAAATAATTTTAAAATGCCTAAAATAATATATGGCAGAAAAATATTTTCTAAATACATTTTAAAATACATAAACTAGTGCTAACGATAGAATGGAAAACATTGGAAATGTAAAATTTAGTATTTGTAAGAAAGATACAAATTTAAATAATTTCTTTTTATAATAAATATTTATTTCACAAATAAATATAAAAATTATTGTCTTTTATAAAGTATAAAAATTAAATTGAGATTCTGGAATTGTAAGAATGAAGCTGATTTCATTGAATTTCTTAATAATTAAAATTTAATAGAATATTAGCCTGAATGAGTTTTAACATCTAATTTAATAGCTAATAGCTTAACTTAAAAATATGAACTAATTTTAAAATCTACAAGGCGTAAAGTATCTAAAAAATCTTTTACAGATAGAAGTCTGTATGCTTGCATATGATATATGATATCATTTTAGTGAATATGATAACTAGGAGATATTTGTGTGATTTCTACAAAGAAATATTTACAAATATTCTTGATCATATCTGCAACCCCTTGGAGATATGTTCGTATTGGCTGGCTCACTTTGGCGTCACACAGTTCATTGCTTCAAAGGCACTTAAAGATCATTTATTCTTCTGACTTAAGGATATAAAAGTTCAATGTTTGGTGATTGAAATGCTTCAAATATTTTATACATTGATAATACGACGAACCAGCAGTATAACTGAAATATTCATAGAAAATTGATTATTGAAAGAAAAAAAAAACATTTCCGTTAGTTTACAAATTCTACGATAGGATATTAGAAATATATAAAAAATAAATTTGCAAAATATATAAATATTTCAATTTCGAAATATGCAAATTAAAGTATGTAGATTTTTGTATTGTGAACTATGTAACCAATAGGACTATTACGACAGCGATTAAAAAAATTTTAAGCAATTTAAATTAAATCTTTTATTATTAAATTTATTAAATGATTGTCCATTGCATTGTCAAGATTTTCATTACCTAATAATTATTCTTTAAGAAAACATAGAATATTTCAATGGAGCACTTTTATTTAATAATCATATTGGGCAATGAAATTATTTTTGTTTTATTACTTACATTATAACCCATCCAAAGCCAGTTGCATAAAGTAGCAAACACACTTTCCAGCTGAAATAAAATTGAGATAAAATAATTAAATTTACATTAATACATAGATTACAATCTACTTTTCTTATAAAATTATCAGTCATAAGCTTTGTGATTCTGTAAATATATAAATTAATATTGAACACGTATTGAACTTATCTCATTTAAATCTCATACAAATAATAAATACATATTCAAAATGATAATTGTCTACTTAACGAGTCATGTAAGATCAATGATAGGCTATGTACCACAAAAAATAAGAGTAGGAAACCTTATTTTAGCACCATTTATTTTTATACTTTGGGTTATTAATATGAGTTAGTGGTTGAGAATTACTAATTATCTATAAAAGTATCTCAATGCTGTATGTCTAATAAATTTATCGTAATAATTATCTTACATAAATATAATATCCTCCAAGTAGCCAAAGTCCAAATATCAATTGAAACAGACAAACGATGAACCAAGCTGTAAGCCACGGTAATAGCCAACCACGTACGCCTCTACGAATACCATGGACCATTAGCATAGCAAAGACAATTAACGATAGAAAATAGTAGATGAGGATTCCTCCAATCACTGGCATAGCTGTAACAAAAATTTTTCGATTGAAAATGTATGTATTACAAAATATTCGCTTAATTCGAAACACCGTTACATATTCGTTTTTCGTATATTAATTTTTAGTTTGCTTTTATTTAAAATGCCAAATAAATAGTTTAGTGGATCATATTTAAAAAAAAAAATTTTTAAACAATTACGGTTTATTGAAATAAAAAGGTTAAGGAATACAATCCAATAATTCATTAATATTCAATCTCTAACAATAATCATAATTAATAATTAATAATTAATAATTAATAATTAATAATTAATAATTGATAATTGATAATGGCCAAGAAATTAATAATTTCTGAACTTTAACTCACTATTTGGTACACTCAATTTACAAATTCCCAACACAAAGAAACCAATCGCTTAACTTTATTATAACATAATTATATAATGTAAACAAGTGTGCTTTTTCCAACAGGTAGATCACTCACGAATACTCGGTGCATGTTTATTTATAACTCCTTGCCACAGGGCTATTATCTTATAGCAGTGCTAGAAAGATGCAACAACAACAACAACAAAAATGAGCTACTCACAGCTTCTGACATCAGATTCAAATAATGGATTATAAAGCTGCGTGGAATCACCGCCATTGAGTTGATAAATTATCAACGTTATCAACACAACGCTGATAGCCTGAAAACAAACTCAACATCAATAAGATGCATCTGACAACAACAGGTGGAACTAACTACAAAAGGGCAGGTCAAATAAACGAACGAGTCAGACTCACCACCGTGTAAAAGGCTATAGCTTTGCAGGCAGTTTTGGTATTATTCGTCCATATGCAGGGCGACCAGCACGATTCGAGAATCATTTTTTCAACCTCTCCACGGACTCACCACGGGCAATCGTCCTCCTCACTGATACCTAATAATAGTTAAATAAACGCGACACGCAGTGGTCGTACTGGAACGTAGCTCAACGCGTCCACACTTGTCACAAACCCTATGATGTTTGGGCGTCGTCTCGTCTCTGCTGCCAATCGCGTCTCAACGTGCCGCCACGTTTCTTTAATATGGCGCTGTTGCCACATCTTACGCACCTTTCCCTCGACCGCCCCCATGGAACAGCGCGCTTTTCCGTATCCCATGTTAAATACCAAAACCGAGCAGCCACCGGCTGCTTTTTTAATTATCGTTAAAGCTGGCTGCTACCGTGGCTCATTGGCCGGAAGGTTTCTCCAGCGCTTCTATTCGATTGTCGCGGCCTTTTAAAATTTCTCCTCTATCTCGGCTTTTTCAATCCGAATTCACCAAGTTCGCGTATTCAAGTACAGTTTGCCCTGGAGCGATCGTGCCTTGCTCGCACGTCAGTTTTATTAGTAATGCTGTAAGTCGGTGAAGATTGTCGTAGAGAGCGAATTTAAGAATTATCGGAAGATATGCGGTGCATTTGTCAATGCGGCGATAGCGTGTTGCGTGATGGACGAAATTTGGCAACAATGTCGCGTACTAGGAGCGAGGAGCTTATAATTTCGTACCTGTGTTTTTTGTAATTAAATCAAATATTTTAATATTTATGCGCCAGTTTTAATGTAACATGCAATATCGTTTTATGTATATTTGCCTTCGCAAAACCTCGTGTTTTCATTGTACCTATGATGTCTAGGGAATATCAAAAGGGATCATACACAATGATGGCTATTTTTACATTAAGGCAACAATGTAAGTTTAAATTCGAATCCAACGGAAGAAAATAAACATGTGACTATTTTTATTTATTAAATCCTAATTTGCGATTGCTGAAATACTTATAGACATGAAGTTATTATTAGCTATTTTTTCAATGTATAATTAACTAAGTAAGCAAATGCATGTCTATGCGAATTGCGATGTATCAAATTAAGAACAAATGAATTACGTTTAATTAGTAAGGTAAAATTGAAAAGAAAATGGACTGTATCGAGCAATTTTGTGATGATAAACATTAGAAAACAGTTCGTATGGCTATTGTATGTATATATGGCACATTCATATACAATTTTCAATTAAAATCAGATTTTACATATTGTCACTTTACAATGCGAAAGAGAAGGAAGTGCTTGATATACTTAGCCAATAATAGATAATACAATTATGATGATGGACAACTTGAAAATTGAGTCCTTCAAAGTCAAAACGAACTCATAACAAAGTAAACAGAAATTGAAAAAGGCTTGAATTTAAAATTTGTCGATCTTCAATCCTAAAAAAATAGTTATATAGTTAATACTTATTTCAATTTCTTTGATATGTAATTGTATTATGTAACGATTGTATAAGACAGTGAACATTGTACTTTTAGTATTTTATAATTTTAAAGGCATTTCAAATTGATCGATCAATTAGTGTGATAAAAAATAAAAAATGACCTATATACGCAGTACCTTCTTTCACTTAAATTACACACTAAATCCTATATATTCCAATATGTTCATTAACATGATTTGCAAGTATATATGAAATATTATAATTTCTTTGTTATATTATCATTATCTACTTACTATTAAAAATCTATAATTTGATTTTATCTGTCATTTTTCTTGAATACAAGAAAACACTAGTTTTTAGCATGGAAAGCATGTAGAGCTTTCGCCCGTGTAGACATTTATCATGAATATTCATTTTTAAGATTAATTATAACATGCTAATATTTAAATTTAAAATGATCATATTTTAATTAGGATTTTTGGTATTATCGTAATATTTTTATTATTCACCGATTGTTTTGTATATGTGAAAAAAGTTTTATTGAAATTTTTTTACCTATATAGGTAAAAGTTAATATTTACATATAAATATTAATATAATAAATTAGCTTTTTAAATTGAAAATTTTTATTTTGAAGTTTTCCTTTATTTCTATAAAATTAATTATCGTCCAGTCAAAATATAAACTTTGAAATTTCCATGCCACACTGTATATCAACACATACTTAAATATATATAAATTTTCTAAATCTCCAGATTTTTGTTACCTGTCAGCGCTCTATCATAGTTAAATATTATATCAACTAACAACTAGGCTAACATTTATCACAAGCAAAATTTTTTGATAATCTCGTTTTTCAATTTTGTAATATCTTTACTCGGATACTTACTCATTTCCATTTTACATTTTTAATTCAATACAAGTAAAGAAAATCTTTCTTTCTATTTTATTTGGCTTTATTTTCCAATACTCATTATTTAATTGTCGACATAATATGTGTTTAGACTAATGATGATATTTAATAACGTGATTGGGCATATTTGCCAGCTCATAAAGAATAAATTACAATCATCGATGCCATTTTCAAAACGTGTTTATATCCATTTATATGCCAATGTTTTATAGATGACAACTTAATCCTAAAATGCTTGAGATCTCGCTCGAAGCGATATTGATCGACAAATAAAAATCATATGATACACAAATAACGAAAGACGAGTGAAAGCATCTTGTTTCATTTTCTAATTAATATCGATCCATATCATCATCGATCTACATGGACACACTATTTCCCTGTAAGAATTTACCGATTGTTAACTATTGTTAATGCATCTTCTTTCTAATTACACACTGCTTCAGAAGATTTAATTATAAATGTGTTTTCATGACGATGCCACATCAGTTTGTTTAAAAAAATTATGTATAAATAATCTTAGCAACGAATATGTTGTTCACATTATTTAGTACTTGCAATAAAGAAATATATTTATTTATTTGATTAACTTGAAAATATTATTAAATGGTCCTTTTTTTCTTTTTTTTTTTTTTTTTTTTTATTTTTTAAATGTAAAATTAGCTGGTCAAGTGATGACTAGTTTGCTATACATAATTTTGAACAATTTAAGTAAATTAGAAAACAGATTGGAGATCAAATTATTTTATAAATTGTTATTTTTGCATAATTACCATTACTTCCTTAATTAGTTAACGATCGTATTAATAAATACCTATTATTGATTAATGAATATTAATATTTAATGATGTTTTTTACAATTAATTTATTCAATAGTAATAAGTATTATTATTCAAAGTGATAACTATCAATAGACAAACTAGTCGACTATAACTAATTACTCCATTTGCACTCAATTTGACGAAAAAAGCGAAAATTTAAAATCACAACATTCGAAGTAAAGAGATACTTAAAATATTATCAGTCGACTAAGTGATATAAGTGTGCCGCCAGTTATGTACTCGAGAAACCGCAAGCACTCACTAATCATCGAAGCTATTGACAAATTTCTCCTCCGTGACAATTACAATACTTGCAAACAATGTACAATTAGTCCCAAGCGGCTTTTCTCAATTTCGCATCTCAACCGTTTGTGAAACTATAAATACAAATCACCAACCCTCTTTCACCTTTCTCAGCTCTTAATTTATACCCGCCTCTTTTCCTATTAATCTTCCTCCGTTCGGTCCGCTCCTCTAAACGCTTTCTTGCCAGGGGAATCGGTTATTCGGCGCCTTCGCCTTGGCATCGCGAGGCGAAATCGTTATGCCTTGCTCGCTCCATGCGCTGCACTCACTTCCTCTCCCTTTCGGCCGCCCTCTCTTTTACTCTTCTGCTGCTCTTCTTGGGCATGCAGCGTTGCAAGGTTTACACATTGGCGATAATAATAATGTGTCCGCGAAACGAGCGGCTGATCGGCAACGCCGTGTAGACTCACGTAGAAGAGAAAGAGAGAGAGAGAGAGAGAGAGAGAGAGAGAGCGAGGGTGAGAGAGAGTTAAGAAAAGGACCGGTCAGCTCCCTTTCAGAAATGCGAATCTTCTCGCACGTGTACCACTGTTCTCTTCTTTCTCTATTTAAATATCTTCCGTTCCTTTTCGCTTCGTTTTCGCTTTCTTTTTCAGGATTTTTTTTTTATCCTTCTGTTACGCATTCATACTTTTACTCTTTTTTCGTCTACCGCTACCGCTATTATAAGTCTCAACTTTTTTCTTTCATTAAATCATTGACTTTTTCTCACCTTTAGATATATGTTATTCTATAATTTCGATATACTATATTCATGACTTGCGTAAATATTAATTAATTTACTGTAAATTATAAAAATACATTTAAAAAATTATAAAATACCATTAAATTCTCATCAAATATAAATTCTCATTAAATGAAATTAAATGTTAAACGAAAAGAAGAAATTAGTCGAAGGGAAAATAATAAAACTGATTTCATTTTTATCTTAATTATGAAAAGATGTAGTTTTCTTACAATTTGATGGATTTACAATTTTAGAAAATGCATAGAAAAATTTTATGTGCCCTATTTCCCAGAAGATCAGTGGTTTTTCAGGTAAATGTCTTTCTCGCTACTCTTTACTAAAAACCCAAAAGGCCAAATTGAATAAGACACATTCATATTCAAACACGTAGAAAAAAGAGAAAAAACAGAATATTGCGTGACACAAATTTTACAAAAATTTAAATAATATTTAACAATTGATTGAATCAATTTGCCATTATTAATGCGAGTCGTTGAACCGC